GTCTATCTGAAGTGTACCTGGCGTATAAGATGACCCCCCACTTGGAGGCATATTTTTCAGGGCCAAAAAATCGTCTTATACGCCGGCAAATACGGTATCTAGAGCAGGGGTTGGCAAGCTGTGGCTCGTGAGCCACATGTGGCTCTTTGGGTACATACATGTGGCTCTGCAGTAAAATTGAAAATGAAAATAAAACTATCATAGTTTCATTTATGAAAATTTTAAAGGATATTATTCACATAATGGTGATTTCATTTGTTTTATGGCTCTCGAGTACTTTTTAAATTGTTGTGAGGGACAGGATTGGCTCTTCCGTCTCCCAAAGTTTGCCGACCCTGATTTAGAGAGAATGATACAATAAAAGACATTAGGAGAACCTGGGAGTGCTGAAGCATGTAGCACAGGGCTTCTTCAAAGTAGTCCACATTCATGTCAAATTCCTTGGGGAGATCTTCAAAGTCGTAATAAGCTAGAGCCAATGTGGCAAAACCATGGCCAGCCAGAAGGCTGGCTCGATATTCCAATAGGCCTCCTCCAACACCAAAGATGTCAATGATGCCTGGGAAAGGTCCAGGTCCTAGAGAAGGGAATATTATAATGGGAAAGTATGATATAATTTAAAGAATTTGCTTTTCTTTTAGAGATCTTTCTAAATTATTTCGCGGGTTCCTGTGAACCAGAGGAAGGAAAACGGCTCCCTGAGTCACTATTGAAAAGCCATACCAGTTCCTTGGTGGGAGGAAAATCTACAATATACCTTCCCATTGATGAATTTACCGTCCATATACTTCTTTGATAAATTATCTGCAAGGTTCTAAGAATCTTTGGTTCTAAAGGAGAGTAACAGTCTTTCATTAATGACTATATCACAGAAGGAGGAATTTTATATTTTAGACTGTGTTCTGTTAAAGAATTGGACATAGAATTAAATATCTTGAAGCAAAGCTTTATGTTGTGTTGCCCCAACCCCTTGCCTTTTTTTATATATTATATTTCAGCTGTCTATTTAGAGAAAGGAAAGAAAATTACTTAAGAGATGAAGTAATTTAAGTAATTTAAGTGAAGAAGGCAGTGAGGTCTGAAGTGTGATCTATGGTAGAAAGGAGCATGAAGACGTGCAGAAGAGGCCCAGTGTACTCAGGACACGAGAGAAAGGCCACATGGTAATTGCTTCCTTAACAGTCATTTTTAAAAGACACGTAGTAGAGCTGACGCCTGTAGAGATCTGTAGGTAGTTAATATCAAAGTAGACAACAAAGTAGACAACCGACCTTGACCCTGTTATTTTAACCTACAGAATAAGAGTCGCCATCTCAGTGAAATATTATAGCGATTAAATGAGATTATGCAAACAAAATGAACAGCACAGAGCCTAACATATCAAAATAACCTATTTTAGGTGTGTGGCCACTAATTTAGTCCATGTCAGCTTCTCTGACCGTGTCCCCAAGCCAAACTCCCCTGAAAACAGTACTACAATAGAAACCACTGGTGGCCCAGAGCACACGCTCCCGCACCCCCAGCAGCCCAGGCTCACCCGGCGGCAGGAAGAGCGTGGCGCGCACCCGGCCCGCGCGCACCGGCTCCCGCCGCACCCCGGGTGGAAGGAAGACGCGCTCGTGCACCGCGCGGCTCAGGAGCCGCCCGGCCTCGGGCTCGTGGCCGTGGAGCACCTCCAGCTCCACCGCGAAGGGCGTCTGCACGTCTCGCTTCAGAAACCGCCACACTGGCTTCTCCGGCTCTAGAGACCAAAGGAGTCCCATGGGCTCGAGCCCCACGAAGCTGCCGCCCAGCGCGGGCGCGCGCGTCAGGTCCAGCTCGCCCCCGGCGTCGGCGCAGTATCGCGCGTGGGCCCGGAAGAGCGCCCCCCTCTCGTCGCGCAGGGACGCGCGCAGCGTGACCGGCTGTCCCGGGGCCAGGCCGCGCACGACGATACGCACGGGCTCGTCCCAGCAGCAGCGGCCGGCGGGCTCCAGCCTCACGCTCGCGGTCATCCCGGCCGCTCCCTTCCGCGGTTCAAATCCCGTCAGGGACGCCGAGGCCGGTGCCGGAATCCCGTCCCAGTCTATGGGGAGCGCGCTGGCAGGTCCGACGGGGTCAGGCGTTCCCGGGCTCCGGGAGCAGTCGGTGGCGGAGTCGCCTCTGGAGTCGCCTGGGCTCTTCTGACTCGTGGACCAAGCACCACCAGGTGGCTCTCCTGGCCCAGGCAGGGGAGCTCAGGGGCGGCCTGAGGTCTGGATGTGGCGCTGAACCCGCCGACCCAGAGGCCGCTTCTAGGCCTCAAACCACTCTCACTTGTTGAAATGAAAGTTGTTGAGCAGTGGATTCGTTGTAAAACCAGAGCTGGATGAGTTTCGGCAGAATTCCAAGATGTCCAGCCACTCCATGGTATTTGAAACAAACAAAAAACTTTTAATGAATTACAATGTACAGTTCAACGAATTTTCACAATCCGAACATACCCGTATAACAAGCGCTTGGATCCAGAACCATTATCAGCAGCCCAGACGCACCCCTCGCTCCTCCAGGCACTTTCCCCTTCTCCACAGGTACTCTTATCCTGGTTCCAACAAAAGGGCTAGTTTTTTCTGTCTGCATTTTATAGGAATGAATCCTTCAGTGTGTTTTTCTTCGGTGTCTTTCTGCTTTCACTCAACATTATGTTTGTGAGATTCATCAGTATTGTTGGGTGTAGTTGTGGATCGGTCATTATTACTGCTAAATAGTATTCCATTTTGTGATCATAAAGTTATTTGACAATTTTACTGCCTATGTGCATTTGGTAGTTCCCAGTTTGGGACTATTAGGAATAGTGCTCTGAACATTCAAGAAATTATTATTTTTTTTTTAAAAAAATTTTTATTGGGAAATTGGGGGGATGGGGAACAGACAAGTTGCTGTCGTTTTTTGTTCTTCAGTCTAGTTGTGGAGGATGTCGCTACACTGGCCCAAGTTGGCACCATCATTGCGCTCTTCCCTGGCGCTGCAGATCAGTCGCCGGCTTCTGGACGACCGCTCACGGTGGCTGCTGGCCGCTCACGCTGGCTGCTGGCTACACACAGTAGCCCATGGCAACCCACTGCCACAGGGGCTGCAGCCTATACCGTCGCCGGCGACTCTTGGCAGCCCAGCTCCAGGTTGAGCTGTTGTTCAGCATCTTAGCTGTGGAGGGCTGTGTCACTGGCCCTCATATGATCTGAACCGGGGCCCTCTGGCGTCCCAAGCCAGTTCTTAACCATCACGCCACTCGGCCGGCCCAAGAAATTATCTTTTGATGGACATGGATGTGCATTTCAGTGGGGAATACACCTGGGAGTGGAACTGCTGTGTCATAGGGAATGAGACTGTTCAGCCTTAGTAGATCCTAAGAGTCAATCTTTTGAATGTGACCCTAAAGGCAATATAGGTATAATGCTCAGGGATGCCCCGCATTTTATATATATTCTAATAATAGCTACTCTTTATCAATGCCCCATCTATTTTATATACAAAATTTAACAGGTTCAAAAAACACTGGGAGTATTTTTCAAATATCGCAGAGGTGGAAGCTGATGCTTAGGGAATATTAAGCCACTGAGGATTACCCTCTGATAAATGTCAGAGCCCTGACCAACTCCAGATGTGGAACTCAAAGGTGATCAGTGGCATTGTGGTGAAATAGAATCAGAGTACTAGCTCTGGCTTCAGCACTGACTAGTTTTGTAGTCTTAAGTGTATTCTCTCTCAGGGTCTCTCATAGTTCTTCTGTGTAACAAGATAAAAGTCTTCCATATGGGGGTCAAACATGCTAGTGTATGTGAAAGTCTTAGAAGACTACGGTGAAGCAAAATGTAATTATTGATGTCATAATAGCCTGAGATTGAGCCTATGTGTGTGTTGTTTCTCATGGTCTCCAGATAATTGACATCGGTTTGCATATTGCTTTTTAAACTATGTAAAAGAAAAATCATATTTTTTAAAGAAAAAAATACATATTTTTCAAAACAGACATAAGCAATACTGAAAAGTTTAAAATGTGATATAATAGAGTCTCTTCTCAAACCTCCAGCTATCCTTTCCCCAAAGATGGGTGCATCCATCTAGATTTTTTTCTGTAGGTTTATAGAATGTAAATATATGGGAATGTGAACATACTATTGGGTTGTCGGAAAAGTCATGATGTATTTTGTCTGTTTTTCAAAGGTCATTTATTTATATAAAGAACAAAGATCAATCAATGCTATATTGCCCATTTTGTTTGATAACCTTTTGCCATCTTTCAGTGAGCTTCATAATTCCTCGTTCATAGAAAGACCTGTCTTTATTTGTGAAAAACTGAACAAGGTGCTGATTTACAGCCTCATCTGAATTGAACGTTATACCACGTAAAGAGTTTTGAAGGAGTGAAACAAGTGGAAGTCTGACGGCACAAGGTCAGAAGAGTATGGTGGGTGTGGCAACACATCCCATCCAAGCTCCAATAATTTCGTGTTGTCACAATGGAACACAACTCCTTTACAATTAACAAACTCTGGACATTTCTGGATGATGGATTCATTCGAACTATCCAATTGCCGACAGGACACATTCGAATTGATTGTTTGGTTCCTTGGTAGGAGCTTGAAAAACATGACACTTGAAATCCCACCACACTGAGAGCATAACCTTCCTCTGATGAATGTCTGCTTTTGATGTCGTTTGAGGCAAATCATCACGTAGGGACCAAGACCATTTGCACACCACATTGTTGTAAACAATCCACTTCTCATCACCAGTTATCAGTCGCTTCAAAAACGGATCGTTTTCCTCACGTTTAATGAGCATATTGCAGATGTTTATACGCACCGTCAAATGAACTTCTTTGAGTTCATGCGGAACCCAACTATCGAGCTTGCTTATGTATCCCAGCTTCTTCAGGTGGTCGTGAATGCTTCAATGATGGGTGTTCAATGTTTCTGCAATCTCTCGTGTCGTGTAACATGGGTTTGACTCGATCAATGCCTTTATTTTGTTGTCATCAACCTCGGTGGGCCTCCGTAACCGAGGAGCATCATTGAGATCAAAATCACCGGCACGGACTTTCGTGAAGCATCGTTGGCACTGATGTCCTTGTAGAGCATTGTCACTGTAAACTTCATGCAATTTTTCACAAGCTTGACGCGCGTTCTTCCCTTTATGGAAGTAAAACAGTAAAATATGGCAAAAACGCACAGTTTGGTCTTCCACCTTCAACTTGTAAAATCTCTAAAACTCAACCAAATCGCTCAATTTTTTTTAGAATGAAGCTAGAACTGTCAGCTGTCAAATGACATAGCAATAACATAGATGCAAATGACTCTAGTACTTCCAAAAATGAACTAATGCCATCTGTCGCAAACGTTTCATGACTTTTCTGACAACCCAATATATTTACTGTTCTGCAGCTTGCAGACCTATGTTTTCATTTTTCTGTATATACTCAGGAGTAGAATTGATAGGTCATATGGTATCTCCCTATGTTTAACCTTTTGAGAAGCTGCCAGACTGTTTTCCAAAATGGCTGCACCATTGCAAAATCCCACCAGCACTGTATGAGGGTTCCAATTTCTCTACATTCTTGCCAACTCTTGTTCTTATCTTTTTTTTTTTTAAGTTTTTATTGGGTAACAGTGTGTTTTTTCCAGGACCCATCAGCTCCAAGTCAAGTCGTTGTCCTTCAATCTAGTTGTGGAGGGTGCAGCTCAGCTCCAAGTCCAGTCGCTATTTTCAGTCTAGTTGTGGGGGGTGCAGCCCATCATCCCATGTGGGAATCGAACTGGCAACCTTGTTCACAGCACATGCTCCAACCACCTGAGCCACCCAACTGCCCCCCTGTGTTTTTGATTATAGACTTCCTACTGGGTAATTGTCTCATTGTAGTTTTGATTTGCATTTCCTTGATGGATTATGATGTTAAGCATTTTCTCATGTACTTATTGGCCACTGTATATCTTCTTTGGAGAAATGTCTTTTCAGATCCTTGGTTTATTTATTTAGTTGGGCTATCTTTTTATTATTTATTGAAAGAGTTCTTTATATGTTCTAGATACAAGTCCCTTATCAGATAAGTGATTTACAAATATTTTCTCCCATTCTGTAAATTGTCTTTTCACTTTTTCAGTGGTATCCTTTGATGCATAAAATTTTTTAGTTTTGATGAAGGTCAGGTCGTCTGTTTTTACTTTTGTTGCTTGTGCTTTGATGTGAAGCCATTGCCTAATCCAAGATTAGAAAGATTTATTCCTATATGTCGTTCTAAGAGTCCTATAGTTTTAGCTTTTGCATTTAAGTCTTTGGCCCATTTTGAGTCAACTTTTGTGTATGGTTTGAGGTAAGGATCCAAATTTTTGTTTGTGGATGTCCTGTTGTCCCAACACCATTTGTTGAAAAGGCCATTCTTCCCCCAATTGAATTTTCTTGGCACCCTTGTAGAAAATCAATTGACTCTAAATGTGAAGATTTATTTCTGGACTGTCAATGTTATTCCATTGATCTTTGTATCTATCCTTATGCATTATCTTGATTACTGTTGCTTTGTAGTAGTTTTGAAATTTGAGTCTTCCAACTTTACTCTTTTTCAAGATTCTGGGTCCCTTGAATTTCCATAGGAATTTTAGG